TGATAATTCAACAACAACAATTAGTAATATCAATATTGCTGAGGAGTTACTGATACCAAAGTTTGAATGTATTCTTCAAAAAATGCTGACTTGCTAAGCATTGCTGCAATTGAAGGTGTGGCTGGAATAAAAGGTGTGGCTAAAATTAAGCACACCTTCTTCATAGTTACACCAATAGGCAGTTACTGGTAATAAAGCTTCAGTTTTCTACAGTTTAAGACACAATAATTAGGCTCTATTTGTTGTACACAAACTTTATAGTAAGAATATACTGTTTAAAAGACTCTGACAGCTCTTCATGGAGAACAGGACTTTGTGTAAACAGTCGCGGTAAGCGATGTTTCAGCTACCATATCTCAGAAATTTATAATTTAAGACAAATTTCCTACATATTAAATGAATGAAAACTTTCAATCCATCATTTGGTGTGTTCTATTGCATTATTACCTTCGTCATGAGAGAGTTGCCTGGAATCCTGACCACGTTTAGCAACACTCTTGGTTCATGCTGCCAAGGAGAAGAAAGATAATGAATTAAACTTAAGAAAAACTACTTTTGGCAATTATTTAGTTGACAGTGGGACTCCACAGGACATGAGCAAAGAGCAGCAAGGATTTGAAAACAGAGAAAAAGACGCCATCTTGCGAAAACACACACACACACACTGACAGACAAGCGCAGTACCCTGGCCTATACGCCTACAGCATGGGCGAGGGCAAAAACTAGTTCTTAAAACAGAAGAGCAAGCATTAACTAGACACATTTCCATTTTAGCTTCACAAAAGAAGCAACTAGCTCTGCAAATAGAAAAGCAAGTATTACAAAGAAAAAGAATACTTTAGCTAGCCCAAATAGAAAATGTGCTAACAAAAGTGAAGAAGCTTCGTTAGAAAGTATTGCGGAGTCAGACTCTAAACGCAGTAAGTTACAGACTAATGAAGAAACTTGACTACGTATGCCAAAAAATCGGGCTTGTAAAACAAGGCATTGAGACGTCACAAAAATTAATAGCGGCAGAAACAGACAATTGACTTTAACGGTACACACTGCAGTAGCAAACATTAAAAAAATTAAAGTTGGTGCTGAATGTGTCTGTTATTGTTGTCATAGGATTTTGTATGGCACTAGTATAGTAGTAGTAGTATAGTGTGGTGCTACACAATACAGACAAATATAGTAGCTGTAGCAATAGAGGGTATTAGTGACACGTTCAAGATTTTAATCAATGTTTTACAGGTAAAACCTGACAACAGAATTTGTTTAACTACTGTTGAGCATTGTGATAGATCTTCTAGCAATTTTACAATACATATTGGTTTAGTACTTCAGTATCATTTTGTGGGGTTCGATCCTATTTCCCTGTATAGTATTACTACTTCTGTATGTAATGATACACTCACCACACTGTGTTAACCATAATAACTTTTCTGTATCTGACAATAGTGTTGGTAAAATCAATCTTAAATCATGTCATAAGAGTAGTATAAACAACATTGATACATTGGCCAGCACAGACATTTATGTGAATATTGACATTATGACATCCCTCCCCCCTCAATAATGCACATATGGTAAACTGTAATTAGTAGTTTATTATACTATTATTCCGGTTGGGTGGTCGTCTTACATATGTTGACTGACGTGGATAAGCATGGGAAGGAGCAGCAGGGGGAGGAGGAGTAGGAGGAGAATATGGAGTAGTGAGAAATGTTTCCATGGAATTTGTTCCTTTTTCCTCACCTATTGACCTCTTCCTTATATTATCAACTTGCTGACGAATGATTTTCCCATCTGAAAATGAAATGTGATTGGACAATGGACCTATAACTTTGCTAACTACACCTGGAAGCCATTCAGTATTCTTGGCAGGGAGTCTCTCAAACTATACTGCATCACCTATACCAAAAGAACGAAATTGTTTCATTTTGTTTTGTACCATAACCTCCTAGTTTTTCTCTACGTAAATATAGATACATCTGGAATCATTAAATCCAGTTCGCAAAATGGCTTCCTATTAAAGAGGAATTCAAATGGCGATATATTTGTTACAGGATGAGGTGTGATACAATAACGGAATAAAAATTTCTGAATACAATTTTGAATAGAGCTGCCTTGTATTATCATAGTACTGCATTTAAAAGTCTGAATAGCACATTGAGCCAGCCCATTTGTTTGGGGGTGATATGGCGCTGAAGCATTGTGCTTTATTCCATTTTCCTTACAAAACTTCTTGAACTTTTCACTGGTAAAGGTTGGATAATTATCACTAACTAATGTATGGGATAACCCAAGAGTAGCAAAAATAATATACAGCTTGTCAATCGTACTGTCTGCAGTAATAGAAGACATCATGGATACATCCATCCATTTAGTACAAGCATCAACTACGACTAAGTACCCATGTCCTAAAATTGGTCCAGCAAAATCCAAATGTGACCTGTTCAAATGTTGTGCAGGCCAATTCCAACCATGAGGTGGAGCTGAGGATGATTTAGCTTGTACTTTCTGACGTATTTCACAATGTTGGACAATATTCTTAATATCAGAATCCATGCCTGGCCACCACATACACCCACGAGCTAGAGTCTTCATTCTTGATGACCCATCATGAGTGTCATGTAGATGATATAGCAACAATTTATGAGAGGAAGGAGGAACAATGAGGCGTGATCCCCATGGCAAGCATGCATGCATTAAGTATTAAGTTATACAACGAGGTGAGGTATCTATGGCATTTATCATACCGAGGGCCGTAGGCCAGAGGTATGATAAGGCCACAGATACCGACACAGATTTGTATAACCAACTTCTACCATGCTCGCATAACCATAATAACTTTCGTGCATAGCAACCGAGTGCTTGAGTTACTTTTATAAAAGGAGATAGCTCGAAATGGCTTGCTCTGATGATTCAAGCAATCTTGCTGACATTACCAGTGAAACACATTGACAAATAGAAGAGTTTTTGTCGAACATGACGGATCAACAGTTTGAGAACTTCATTAGCTCCTCCCAAATACAGGCCGCGCCTGCCCCCGCACCACCCTTAGCAATATCACATGTTGCTACTCCGCCTTCACCTGTCTTCTTGCCTAGGCCCAGCGCTAGACCTACAAGGTTTGCTACACCTAAGAGCATAGAAGCTATTATTCCAGCACAAAGCAAAGCAGTTCCAGCCACGACCAAGCAAAGCACAGAATGGGCATGCCGTATTTGGTCTCAGTGGAGCAAGAGCAGAGAAGATAGCAACTGCAAGTATCCACCACCCCCGCACCTTTGCATTGATGACTCTCATTTGGACGGATGGCTATCTAAATTTATATTGGAAGCAAGAAGACAAGTTGGAAATGAATATCCACCAAACACACTATACAACATTGCCTGTGGCATAATGAGACATGTAAGTAATTATGCACCACACGTCAACTTTTTTACTCAACGGCAGTTTGATGGCTTTCGCAAAACTCTCGATAGTGAGATGAAGAGGCTATCTGCAGCCGGAGTAGGTGTTAAAAAGAAAAAAGCAAGGCCAATATCTTTGGAAGATGAAGATGAGTTATGGCGACAAGGACTCCTAGGTAATCAAGATGCTCAAACACTGATCGACACAATTATATTGATGTGTGGCCTATACTTTGCTTTACGCAGTGGACAGGAGCATCGTAGTTTGGTCATTGACCAAATTCAGGTTGTAGGTTGCGAGCATCCTTACCTTGTATACACAGAGAATGTGTCCAAGAATCATTCTGGGGGGCTGAAGCACAGAAAGGTCCAACCTAAAGTTGTAACACATTACAGCAATAAAGAGAATCCTGCAAGGTGTTTTGTCAACTTATATAAAGAATATATAAGCCATTGTCCTGAAAGGACCACAAAAGCATTATATTTAACACCATTAAAAGTAGGAAAATGTACATTTTGGTATAGCAATGTAACTATTGGCCACAACATACTATCAAAGACTGTTAATAGGCTTTGCGCATCAGCTAGTATAAAGGGCTTCAAGACAAACCATTCTTTACGGGTAACCACTGCTACAAGATTGTTTCACTCTGGAATTGATGAACAGTTAATAATGGACCGAATTGGGCACCTTAGTTTAGATGGGATAAGGGCATATAAAAGGATATCTGAAGATGGGGAAAAGGAGATCTCATCAATTCTATATAAGGACAGTAGAAAGGAAAACAATGAAGACAAAGAAAATTTTGAAACACCCTGCAAAAGAAAGAAGCTTTCTGGAGATCAACCATTTACTATAAACCTGTCAAATTGCACTAATAAAACAATTAACTATTAAAAAGTAGTGTATGCATTAATGTATTAAGTATTTACATAATACATTTACATAATACATAATTCATAACTTCCCGTACAAACTTATTAACCTTACGGGAAAATTGGTAGTATGTTAGCTATTTATGAACCTACAATTAAGCAATCTGATTGGTCAATTGCAACTAGGCATGGTAGCAGCTCAATTCTTGAAACCTTCGAATATAAGGCTGCAACTTCGGATCATCTGAATTAGGGAATTGTCCCATGCTGACATATCTTTTGACTTGGCCTAAATCAGATCTTTCTGTTTCCCTCTCCATTTGCCAAGCAGTTACAGGAGCTGGTGTGAGAATTTATGAGCTGAATTAGGTTTATAGAGAGATGATCGGAAAATGCATGTTATTCATCTCTGAGAAGGACTTGAGGTCTTGTAATGATAAGAAATTTGATGCTGCTTAAGAAATTTGATGCTGCTGGAGGAGATAAAGCTATTCCTCTCGTAATGGTGACATTTTGGTCTTGAAACCTACGATTTAGCTCGAAAGGAACTTGTCTAGTACAGGAAATTGTAGCTCTTTCTTACACTCATTGCTGGTAGATGGAATCACCCTCACCCTAATGCTCTCAAATACAAAGCTGTCCATGAAGTCGGTAGGTCTCGCTTCTTACTTGCACTTCAGTATTTACATCATGCAATTTGGTTGTGAAAATGAGAATTGTATGACAAAGTAGTCAGAGCTTCACCTATAATAATGGGACCAGGACATGAATCTACAAAAGCAATATCAGTAATTCTTGAATAAACTGGCTCATTATTTTGAAAAACATTATAAGGCAGTCATTTCATTTGTACTGAGTGCCCTACACATTAATCAAATTCACTCTACATGTAAAAGTTAGTCAATTTGAATTACATGTACATGAAACATGAAACTTAAATATTTAAATCAGTTCTTAGATTGAAACGTGGAAAGTAACTCAAAAATCTGATGTGAATTCAAGTAATGATGTTTCCTTGACACAAGCTATAAGGATGTAATGAAATTATGGTGAAAGATTTAACTGACATGGACCAGATTCAATAGCATCTTTAAATATGAGGTGAGGCTTTGACAACATGTAACACATGCGTTGTTGGTGTCGATAAGCAATGGTTTTTGCAATATTTTAAAAGTTACCTATGACTTTTGCAATTTGTTTATTGTACCAATGCCTAGCTTCGAAATGCATGCCCATAATTTACTTTGTGGTCCACATCTAATGGCAATAATAATTAATAATAATTACTATTTTATATTACTTTATCATCCATTGAGGAATGTTTATCATGTAGTGGAGTTTTGGTGTAAGTGCTCTGTCTCGATAACACTCAAGGAATGTTCAATGGTGTTGATGAATCAATTGACATAAGTGTGCAGCAAGTCCAATAGTACATTTTGGTGCCATTGTTATCTGTACCATGTCGAGAAATAAAATATGTAACTGCCACTACTCATTTTCTTCTGATACCAAGTCACCAATTAAAACTTGTAAAAATTGTGCCAAAGCCCAACTTTCACTAGCCATATTTAAAAAAATGAAGCATCATAATCGTAAAATGTACATAAAATAATCTAACCTCCCATTTTCTTTGTGCTTCTACTGAAATATGTCTCCGTGAGTGGTTTTGAGTGATTGCTAACATCATTACTATAAGGAAGTGATAAAATTCTCTCATTTAACACTGGCAAGCTGATTATATTATCATAACAGCAGTAAGTAGAAAGCGTAATTCTAATTGCATTGCACCATCCAAAATATCATGCATCACATCTGGAGGCAGTCCCATAGTAACATGGAAATACCTATAACACACGTAAATGTACTTGTTACTTTACTACCAGCAATATTGTTTCTGCTTACTTAATTTTATATAATGCAGTGTCTCTTGTGATGCCATAGGTTGTTGAGACTTGATCATGGAGGGGTCCTTGCAACAAGCAAATATGATGGCTATGTGTTTCCTTAGTGCGAGGTTCAAACTCTTCAGCAAAAAGCTATAAGTTATACATAATTTATGCATGTAGTAGTTCAATATGATAGGATATAATACAAATACATGTACATGTGTATACACTACATGCAACATATGCATGTACATGTATGTGTGTATATACATGTAATAATTATGAAAATGTATAATGTACTTGCAAGTCATGTATGTTTTATAATACTAAATTACACCATATTTTCTAATTTTATATTAACTGTAACATGGTACATTTATATGTTCATGTTTCTACATGTACACATGCATGAACATAGTTTTATTTCACACTAGTATTTTTAATTTAGCTACTATAGCCTAATAGTGTTGTTGATATTAGCCCTTTCAATTTTTTTGTTGGTAAAATTTGTCATAATAAGAATAGGTATATAAAAGACCTTTGTTTGAATTTCTGAATCGATAGCTAAGTAATACCAGCATTTTTGAAGAGCAGATCCTCGCATTTATACCAACTTAGTGCTTGACTAGCAAGATTTTCTGCAATTGCTCGGCAGAGGGTTCCTTTCAGATGACATTTATTACCTTTAATTATAAACTCAACACCACTCTACAAATAAGGATATATATTAAAAATAATGTATATAAAATGATAAATAAGTAACATATATACACTATTAAGTATTTGAATACTTTCTATAAATGGTTGTAGAATAGTGTTTATGCCATATTTGTCTATATAACTTGATTTTACAACTGACACCAGCTAAATTGTATTATGGTTTGCTCGATGGTATGACTCATTCCCAAGAGTGTCATAAAAGAGTCCTATCATGAAAGTTATACATGTAGTTGTATTTATTGTTTCATAATGTTAATTATGCATCTCCATACCCCCATATTTCATTACCTAATTTATGAACAGTGGCAGCTGAGCCTAGAGGATTGCATACCTCTACGTCATCATAATAAATGAACAATTGCAGTGCATGAGGATCAGAACAGAACAAGTTATTGTCTTCATATAGCTGCTCATCACAAAAATCTTTCAGAATTCCATCACTTGCGGCATTAAATTTAAAAATCTATTAAAATTATGATAGATATTTTATTTTATTATGACAAGTTGACAACCTGTTGACAAAATCCAACATTTTTTAGAGTATATTGAAGAGATTGAAACAGCGGTATATCATAGCGGCACTCATAATTTATATGTGAACCGAGAGACAATGACTGAACTAAATTTCTCCCCAACACACGTTCAACTGGCTCCTATACGTACAAGCAATTTAAATTAGTTCATTGACAATTATTATTATCATTGACTCACTAACAGTGATAAATGTTTTTTAAAATACTGATTTTGTTTTTATTCCGTCTCCTGGTCATCAAAAGGACAATGCATTTCTTTAGAAATGGTACTTGTTTCTCAGATTACTGCCTGAGACACATCATTATCCTTCAATACTTTCATAACTTTTGCCTTAACTAATTCTATATTTTGTTCATGGAACATCGTTACACCTGTAAGTACTCTATCCAAAGCAGATTGAGTTAGATTGTGGCCATCCCTTGTCGACGGTATAAATTGGGCGGAAATTTTCTTTAGATCCAGTGGAGTATTGTGACTATCTTCTGCTTGTATGTCACCCATGCTAGTGGTTGTGTCATGAATGCTGTCTGTTTCAAAATATTCTTTAAATGAGTAAAAATTTAATAAAAGCATATAATTTAATTCATTGCTTACATCATCATGTGTTTTGTCTGGAAGAGAGTCATTAATTCTGCTGACTTTTTCTTCCATATGATGCTTACGATAGAGATGTGACCGCTAAAAACTGCAATTGTTAAAAGTTCTTCGGCATCCATCTAATCCACATTGCAAATGAAAGTTGCTATCAAAAGCATGTTCTGTTGCTATGTGATGCAATATTCCCTGAAATGTTAGTGAGCAAAGGTGGAACAAACAGTGCATTGCAGTTGGGACATTTCTATAGTTTACTAGTTGCTATGGTGATGGCTGCACGTGACCCTTTGCAGTGCAGGTGTATAATGGCTGTTTGTGAAGGACCGCAAGTGTTAATCTGCTATTCGAATTCAAGAAAGATAATAGGAGCTACATCTTCGGATGAAATAGAATGTGCTGTATTGTATCTTGAAATTTTAGTCCTCTGAATGGGAAGTTTTCTTACAATACTACGATGAAGTATTTGAGGAATGTGTTGATATTCCTGAAAATGACAAGCCAGCTGACAACGAAAAGATTATGATGATATCACGCTAAAACGATGGTGTATGTAGACTAATGTGCACCATAGCTGGTCATATGTAGGTCTCTTAGGTAGTGGAAACTGCTGAGGCAGCAAGACACAACATGGTTGTTCAGCAAGAAAACCAGCTGCAAACAATTTTTAATCACTCTCTAACAGTGAAGTAAGTCTTTTGCCATAAATATGTCATGTTTTTGCCTTGAGAGCTTCTCAATTTCTGACAATTCAGTAGCAACTACACTTAATCACCAAGCATCATATTCTAAAATTATACCAGCTGGTATTATTTCTAATAGTGTGGCACTAGTAAATGATATTGATATAACTATGCTAAATGAACCTTTTGGTAGCTTGATTGAGGAAGGTAATTGAAAAACATTTTTTGCTAATAGAATTATGCGTGCAGGTGTTTTGACTTATGATACAAGTGAAAGTGTTTTAGGAGAAACATCACTTAGAAAAGGATTAAGGAAGTGGTAATTTTTTTCTATTAAGTATGAAAATGTTAACTCTACAGTTCCCACCCCATATAATGTGGTGTGAAATATTCACAATATTTATTTAGAAAACTCATAATTCTCAAATCATTCAAATTTGTTGCATTTTGCTGAAAATTCTCTAATTAAAAGATTTCATTCTTATAAATAAAAAACATTTCCTTAGTCTAAGCCAGCATGGATGTTAATGAAGTGTTGACTTTACTTCAAAAAGATGATAAAGATCACAATGCTAGTGTTAGATCTTATAGTTCTGAGTGTCAGGATA